TCTCTGTTTCTACTATCAATCATTTCAAATATTTTTTGACTATTGTTGATGACTACAGTAGAGCAACCTGGATTTACTTAATGAAAAATAAGTGTGATGTTTTGCATATATTTCCTGGTTTTATTGCAATGGTTGAGACTCAGTATAAGACTAAAGTGCAATCTGTTCGTTCTGATAATGTTCATAAATTAAATTTCATGCATTATTCTCTGAAAAAGGTATTGTTGCTTTCCATTTATGCCCGGAAACACTTGAACAGAATTCGGTTGTAGAGAGAAAACATCAGCATATATTGAATGTAGCTTATGCCCTATTATTTCAATCGAACGTTCCTTTAGAATACTGGAGTGATTGTGTTTTGACAGCAGTTATCTTAATCAATAGGCTTCCAACTCCTGTTTTAGACAATAAGTTACATTATGAGAAACTCACTAGTAAAACCCCTGAGTATCATCATTTAAAGTCTTTTGGGTGTTTATACTATAGTTCCACATCTCCTAAGGGTAGACATAAGTTTGAACCGCGAGCTAGAGCCTGCATTTTCTTGGGATATCCGACGGGTTACAAGGGGTATAAGCTACTAGATATGGAGACACATGCCGTTTCTATTTCTCTTCATGTCGTTTTTCATGAGGATATTTTTCCTTTAGCTTCATCCAACATTCAGGATGTAACTAAAGACTTCTTTCCTCATTTTCATTCCCCTGTTTCCCTTGATGTTCCTTTGCCTCATGTGCAAACATCATCTGATGCACATTCTCCCTAAAATGTGTCATCTTCTGATGTTCTGGTTCCCTTCGAATCCAGAACTCACAGACAAAAGAACCCTCCTAAACACCTGCAGGACTTTCATTGTTATACTATTAATAGTACTATTCTATACTCTATCGCAAACTATATCTCTTATTCAAATCTATCTGAGCTTTTTCGTGCCTTCATTAATACCATCACAAACACATTTGTCCCACGAAAGTATTTAGAAGCCAAGGATTTAGAGGTATGGTGTGATGCTGCGAGGGAAGAGATTGGTGCTATGTCGCGAACTCAGACGTGGAGCATTACATCCTTACCACCTAATAAAAAAGCCATTGGATACAAATGGGTCTTTACGATCAAGCACAATGCAGATGGGAGCATCGAGAGATACAAAGTACAATTAGTTGCAAAAGGTTTTACTCAACAGGAAGGATTGGATTATGAAGAAACTTTCTCACATATTGCTAAACAAACCTCAGTTCGTATGCTTCTCCTGACTGCAGCTAAGATGAACTGTTCAGTGAACCAACTTGACATCTCCAATGCTTTTCTTAATGGCGACCTTGACGAAGAAATATATATGAAGATTCCTCCTGGATACGCCAATTTACAAGGTGAAGTGCTTCCACCAAATAATGTATCCAGACTTCATAAATCAATTTATGGTCTCAAGCAAGCTTCAAGGCAGTGGTTTCTCAAACTCTCCTCCACATTGCTTCGTATGGGGTTCACAAAATCACACGCTGATCATACCCTATTTGTCAAGTTCAAAGCTGGTACTCTCCTTGGAGTTCTCGTATATGTTGATGACATTATGATTGTCAGCAACAATGATAAAGTTGTGGTTTCCTTTAAGGATGAGCTAAAATCGTATTTCAAACTTTGAGATCTTGGCGAAGCCAAATATTTTCTCGGTTTGGAAATTGCGAGATCTGCTGCTAAGATATCAGTTTGCTAGAGGAAGTACATTTTGGAATTGCTGGCAAGTACTAGGTTTCTTGGAAGCAAACCTTCAAGCATCCCTATGGATCCAAGTATAAAGTTCTCAAAGGATACTGGAGTCCCACTTACAGATCCGTCTTCTTACAGAAAGCTGATTGGAAAGATTATGTATCTTCATACCACAAGACCTGATATCTCTTACGCCGTCAACACATTATGTCTGTTTTCTCATGACCCTCAAGACATTCATCTTAATACTGCTCATAAGTTGTTGCGGTATCTGAAAGGCATTGTGGGACAAGGTCTGTTCTATCCTGCGGATAACAAGTTTGATCTGCGTGCTTACTCAGATGCAGACTGGCAGCTTGCGTTGACACAAGACATTCTATCACAGGTTATTGCATGTTCATTGGTGATTCACTAGTGTCCTGGAAATCAAAGAAATAAGATACAATTTCGTGCAGCACGGCTGAAGCAGAGTTTCGTACAATGGCTCTTGCTACAAAAGAGATGATCTGGTTATCGCGCCTTCTTCTGGATTTGCAGATTCCTTTTTCTCCTCCTGCTCATCTCTACTGCAATAACGCTGTCGTGATACACATTGCAAACAATTTTGTGTTCCATGAATGCACCAAAAACGTTGAACTTGATTGTTATAAGACTCATGAGGCAATCGATAATGGTTTTCTCAAAACCATGTTTGTCAAATCAGGTCATCAACTGGCCGATGACTTAACCAAAGCTTTACAGCCGGCAACTTACAGGGAGCTAATTTGCAAGATGGGTATTACCAATATCTTTGCACCTCCATCTTGAGGGGGGCTATTAGTTTGTATATAGCGGTCATGTATGTACATAATAGATAGCTGGTTAAGGGCTCTGAAATTGTCCGGTTTATTGGTTCAATTAGTTTTGTTTACTAAGTCAATTGTATATATAAGTTGTAAAGTCTTTGTTCTTCAATAATGAGAAATCTTTCCTTTTACACTTCTCTCTCGTTGATGTGTAAATGGTATTTAAGACCGGTTCTACAGGGATTATCCGCCTCACCAACAAGAGAAAGTTTACGGCTTTGCAACGCCATCCTTGGTGCCATTATACTAGTCGGATCTAAGAGAAACAACAAAACAAGTTTAGCTAGGAGGTTAAAGCTTTTGTCATGTAGATTATTAGGTTATAAGAGTAGCGAGGAAACCTTTAGGGGTAAGGCAAGCAGCAATGTAATAGAGAGAACCAGTGAGAGCGGCTGTAATAGTAGCTGCAAATGCCTGAGCAAACGGTACAAACGAAGGCAAAATTCCAGTCTGAAAAATTCAAACAATTTTGAAGTTAATACAATTACATGAGTCCAATGAACAAGAAAGAGACGAGGAAGAAGAGAAACTATATAATACCAAAGCGACCAATCCACGAGTATCAAAGAGGAGATTTGTGCCTCTTAGGAATATTAGCATACCTTGTCGGAGGATCTTTCGCTGCGCTCGCACTTTGTCTATCAAAAGAAAAATCCATGAAAGTTTCCTCATTTAAATACTCCAGGGTAGAGGCACGGAAATCCGACAATGTGGAGTCATGTAACGTTTGAGCATCCTGCGAAAGAAGAAGGAAGTGATCAAGAGTGATCTGATCAAGTTTAGTAAGAGCAAATATAATTAGGAGAAGATTGGGAAGGCTTCGAAGCGAGTGTATCTTTTGTTTGGACCACCTGGGACCGGAAAATTGACCATGATCGCTGCGCTGGTGAATTTCTTGAAATATGATGTTTATGATATTGAGTAGACAATGACTAAGGATAATATACAGCTGGACAAGATCTATTTTGATGTGGCGGAGAGTGATCGTTTTGATGAGATAAAGAGGTTGAAGAAATCAAGATGACACCAGCAGACGTTGGGGAGAATCTGTTGCCGAAATCAGAAGGGGTAGAAGCAGAGACATGTTTGAAGTGTTTAATCGAAGTTTTGAAAGAGGAGAAGGAGGAGGAAAAGCGGAAGGCTGAGGAAGAAGCCAAGCAAAAGAAGGAAAAAGAGGAAGAGAAAAATGGAAAGAAAGCAGAGGCAGAGGCTAAAGAGGGGGAAAAGAAGAAAAGGATTGAAGAAGAACATTGAAATATAAAAGAAATCTATATTGCTTTATATAGACAAATAACTGCTGGTTTGTATATCATTCTTGAAGCATTATAGTCTCATCTATCCTATGAATAGTTTGTGATCTCTTTAAGCTAATCAAAAGATTCAAAACTTTGTTCAACCATATTACATCAGTGTATAGATAGTCAAGCACAAACTTACTTTTTTCCTATCTAATAAGAATCAAACGAGAGCTTTGACCCTAAAAAAAAAGGAATTAAACGAGAGCTATATGGAGCAACATGAATTGTATATAAACCTTCTGATGTGGAACCACTTATCTTATATTTTTGCAAGGAGCGTAGTAGAAAAACGGTCTAGATAGTCTTTTACATCCTCTGAATTTTATTTGATTGTTTACCAGACTGGATAAACATTTACCATTTTCGGTTATAGCTTCAATCACTAAAAATCTAATATAATAAGATAAAAATTAATTAAATCATATAAAGAACTGAAATATAACAAAAGAAGGAAAAAAAAAGCTCTAATACTTCCTGTTTCTACTTAACAAGTTCAAGCTTTTCAATAAATTTTTTAATCTTTCACATATATCATCTATAATTTCCAAAAATATTTCAAACAATTGTTCACTGGTCTGGTGTTGAATAGTTATTAACATGCCAGAAGATTTTGCTTTATTCAAATGTGGCATTTACTTGTATGCTACCAATAACATGTCTGAGGATGGTTAACAAAATAATTTATAAGCTACCAAATGAAAGAAGTAAAAAGGTTACACTTTGAATACAAAATCGATTTATCTGGTTTAAATTTTAAAAGATAGATTATTGACGGGACTGTTAAAAAAAAAAATTCATCCCACTAGAAACTATTTTAAATACTTTTTGTTGAAACTTTTTCTATTTTTTTAAATTATGCAGAAAATACATTTTTATGTAAACTGACAAGAAAATTAACTAATTATCTAAAATTATTAATTGTTGCTTTAATGGATCTTCATATCAGATTAAAAATTGTAAACAAAACTTATATAAAATCAATAAAAACAAAAATATTCCTACTCGATTACCTAACTACTTTTCAAAGACGTTTCAGTTTAACTCGATTTTTTCTTTTCGGCTCAGTTTGGTTTCAGTTTTTGTTTTTTTCTGTTATAAATAAAAGTGAATCCGTTTATACCGTACTCATACATTATTTGGTTTTTGGATCAGTTATTTCGGTTTGGTGTGGATGGGTTCAGCTTATCCGGATTGAACATCCCTGATTGACACTATACACTTCAAATATTTTGATAATCTTCGACCTTTCTTGTCCCCTTTCGAAATCATGTCTAAGTTTACATTTACAGGACTGCACCGGCCGCTCCAAAAATATTTACACTTTGGTCCAATGAGAAAACAAATGCAAACATTTACACTTAGGTAAGCCACTACATGATCTCCTGGTCTTAGCTCCCCAGTGATCAGATACTAGTCTTCTCAACGGCTTCCGGATCTTCAACATTTTTGTAATACAATTTCACACTCTGAAAAAAATTTGCCAACAAAAACTAATTACAATAAGCAACGAAAATGATTATACAGGCTTAAACCAACATATCTTTCAGATGATTTTCTGACTACGTAACACTTGTCAGCAATTGTTCTAGTAAGCACCAATAACATTACCTCTAAGAGTGTGATGTAATAGAAATCCTCCATGTGCTGCATAAGGGCACTCCCATCACGAATTGCGTTGAATATTTTGATTTCGGTTTGAAGTATCTGCTCAACGAGTTCCTTCTCACCTTTCATCTGATAGATTTGGTATATGATTGAATTTCAAATATATCGGATACCCATTCGTTTTTTTTTTCGTTTGGTTACAGTTCGAAAATACAAAGAATTATTCAGGTATTTATGATTATCTGACTCGGTTCAGTTCATCTAAATTCGGTTTGGTTTCGGTTCGAAGCTTTGGTTCGGTTAATTTGCCCAGGCCTAGAAAAAACCATGCTAAATTTAGGTGTGGAGAGGACTTACAAATCTACTAACAAGAATATCAGGTGTCGCTTCCCCAATCACCTCACCATGATAACCATCTTTCAAGAACTCCATATTTTCCTGCAACATTATATCACTCATCCCAAGAACTTCTAACTTAAAGGACCTCATAATTGCATAAAAGGTTGTCACATTCAAAAGAATCGTGCATGTATCAACTTTGCAGATTACACAAGGCACTTACCACTTCTCCAGCAGCGAGATAAAGAGGCTGAGCAACATGACAATAACCCATTAAGCGAGGGACCGTTGGGATTATGTCTCTGTGGTTTACAACTCTCCAGCTATCTTTTACTTTCTGCAAAAAATTCACAAAACATATAAAAATCAATGCAATCTCACTCAACACTTGTCAATCAAAACTTGTTACAGTTAGAAGAAACATGACCTGATTATAAACTTCAGCAAATTTTTTGTTGCCTACTCTTGGAGAACCAAAATTGTACATGGTGACTGTGATTGCTCCACGTCTAAACATACATAACACAAATAAATAAATAAATTCCCATCAAGCTGATGTAGAAGAAGGGAGTTTTCAAACACACTAACTTAGCTAATTGGCTTGACGCAAGTTCAATAGCCAAGAGTGTAGCTAATGCACCACCCAAGCTATGTCCAGTCACATAAACATGCCATTTATCTTCACCATCAGCAACATCGTCTCTACCTCGAAAACAGAAAAAGCCAATCATTATGATTGTACTGCCCTGTGAGCAACTACATGAGAAAAATAAGCACTTACATGTAGCCAATCGCCATTTTGAGCAGCGATATTATCCTTATCCGTACTGAATCGTATGCACTCAAGAATCCACTATGGACCTGCAAGAATCCATAGCAGCATTAACGAATCATAACTCAATAAAAGAGTAGACAATGCAAGAAATCATAAACATACCTGTACTTCTTCCTTGAAATCCCCACCAATTCGTTCAGGATTCAGACTGCAACAAATTTGAAAACTTCAAATGTGCAGATTCAAGTCATCAATGTAGAGAAGCTGAGTAAAAAATAGACAATACTAACCCAACAGGAACAAGCATCAAATCAGTCTGCAAATCTTTCCACTTTGTCTGACAAAATATGAAATATTGATAGTAAGAACTGAAAAAAAAAAAAGAAACACCAACCACATAATATCAAGAAGATGTAGATAACTACATACCTGTTCAGTGCCTCTGAAAGCTATAACTACTCTTTTCCTCCTTGCGTCACGCCAAATCGCCACCTGCAAGATTAATAAATTAGTCTATCACTTACCTAAAACTTGTATTTTCAAGAAGAAGAAACAGAGTTTTTTCACCTGTGTGTCAGTGATGTCGTTTTCAAGAAAACACAACTTTTCAAATTCGGATTTAATAAAGCTTGGATGCCCCAATGCAGTGGCAAGCATTGCCCATGCCTCCATGGCGCTCTCTGCGCTAGAAAAGAGCGTTTTCATTTCCTCTGCGTTCTTCTCCTCCGATACATCAACATTCACTAGACCAGAGAGCTTTTCACTCTTGGAACCACCGTAATTTTCTGTGACCTTCTCTGTACCAGGACCGTCTTTGCTTAGTTGAGGCACTACTGCTTTTACAACCATTAATGCACCAAAGACATTATCAGCCCGCTTAAGCAATTCTTGAGTCGCGTTCTTCATCTCCGCAAGGGAAGACTTGGCCGCGTTAGCATCTTCCTTTTCATGATTGTCATCACCTTCTCTAGTATCATCAGCAGTGGCGAGCCCTGATTCAATGTAACCTGCTTCCGCGGTTTTTCGCGATTGTAAACCGAATTTTTCTAGTATCTCCATGCCGTCCAACTTCATTTTCTCAGGTGAAGGAAGACCAAATTGTCGTACGATGTTTTGACTAACTGTGTCAGGGAAGTTATCCCAGAAACTACTACTTTCTGATGCTATGCTTCCACTTTCTTTATCAAATGAATCCTCTGAGCTCGAGATTTCGTCACCTTCAGAGCCATTTCCAAGTTGAATGTTCATAAGGGGAGTATCATCATTGAGTGACTTAAGCTGTCCAAAGGCATACTCTACAAACTGACGAGCTGGCACGGCGTCAGAGTCGACAAGATTTCTCAAAACCGACTCGATTTCGTTTCTTTTGAGGAATTCTGAAATAAAAGGGAGCTTCCACCACTTTTTTTCATCTTCAATCTCCTCAAATCCTTTGTACCTAATCTGAAATGTTTATAAATACTCTCTGTTTATGAAGAATGCCAAAACTAGTAGAGATACTAATATTTTGGGTTCAGCATATACAAAGATGTGAGTCTAGCTGATTTTAAGGTGAATTCTTTGCTACTTTAATTATTTATGCATAATATGGTGTGCTTTATTTTTACATGTAAAAGAAGTATATTGTATATTTGGAGGTTAAGTTGATTCTTTACATCAACAAAAGAATAATATAAAGATAAATTCATCATCTACACAAATGAGCAACACTCTCGGAGAGAACAAATCTTTGACAGCATAAACTAACCTCAAGTTGAACTTTCCCACCACCTCCAATACCGTCTAGTTCCACTAGCACCTCGTGCAAGTTTCCTTGACAAAGGAGAAGAGAACAAAGTACAAATTAGAGACAGAAGACAGACCTTTCTCTGTATGTTTTTAACTGAAAAAATGATTGATTAAGTAAAGTGGTAACCAAAAGGCAGAGCTAATTCTCACCATCACAAATGCATTCCAGGTCGATTTCTGAGTTGCCCATCCGCTTATGTGGGGTAACAAGATTTGCATCCCAAGCTGCAATCTGAAAGCTCATTAAGCAAGTTTTTGGGAAGTCAAGCAAGCCTCTATATTAGAAAGTGTTATAAGACATTGAATAACAAAATAGTTGACTACGTGAAGACCCAAAATTTAAATAATAATATGACTAGATATAAGGTACTTGTCCAGTAATTATTTTCGGTCATAGATACTTGAAACAATACCAGTATCTTTATTGCAGGAGGCAGCTTGATATTAAAAACAAAGTCTTGGTTCCATTTTGGCTCTTTTGTCCTGTCAATAAAAGTAATACATTAAGAAGAGGTTTATCCCTAAAACCAGTAACGGTCTTCTATTTAATACTCAATAAAAAATAGTGGTTTTCTAAGGTGACAAAACTAAAAAAATCTGCTTCAAACCTCAAGAGTAAGAAGAACCTATGAATCTAAACGAAGTTTTGGTATATGACATCGGCACTATTCTTTATTCAAGTGAAAAAGTTAAAGTTTGATCAAGAAGCAACAGGAATTAGTATATCAGAACATTCTACTATGATCAGGCTACGAAATGCAATCCTAAGTATAAAACATAAAAACACTATTTGATACAGAAGTGAAGATGCAAGATTTCATAAAGAAACTTGCCCCCATTTGGTTTTGCTTTTAGCAACCTGACCATCCAAGTCCATCACCACGTAGGGATCACTCGTTCCCTGAAAAGCAAGAACCAATAAGAATAACTTGGCCAAGCTAAAAGAAGATAGATAATACATTTCAAGAATCCTTTAAAACACACACCCATGGATCCAAAGCAGGAAACTCAAATCCTCTTTTGAGTTTTATAAACAATTGTCCATCATATACTTCTCTTACAAATGACCTGAAACAAAAGTAAATCCAAAACTATCTTCTCAGTATCTAACCAAAAACTTCTTAGCAAACAAAATGTTCAAAATGGCTAAAAGAGTGACATACTCAGAAAGGTAGAGAGTAGTACACCCAGCTGCATTAACCTCCCGTTTCCCGATATTTTCCTGGAAAATTCAATCGGAAAAAAATCGTAGAAGGTTGAAAATTTTCCCGAGAAAAAATCTATCAGAAGACGAAGAGAAGTGATGAGAAGTTACGGGAGGTGTAGCGTAGGCTTCGAAAGCGAAACCGGCGAGGATGACGGCGAGATTGATATCGAACGGTGGCCGTTCCGTTTCCTCTTTCTCCGATGAGCTTTCTTCGCTTCCGAGATTTGATTCCTCCGTCTTGAATTGGGAGAAGCAAGCAAAGGAATTAGCCTTGGCTCTGGTTTTAAGATTTTCATGGAAGCTGATTTTCCCGGGAAGGTGGCACGTGCGGGGAGTAAAGAGACTAGAGCAGCGATGGAGACGGTGTTTTGGACGGAGGAAGTAGAGGGAACAGTGTAATTGCAGAGAATTCATCGGTAGAGGTAATCAGAAAAGACTAATTAGAGAAAATTATAGAAGAAGAAGATAGTTTCTTTCTTCTGGAGATTTCTGTGGTGCGCATTGTCTTGTTGTCCAAATTGATAACGGTTTCCTTTTGTGAATGAAATTAATTATTTTGTATAATTATAATAAATCTTTTTATATATATAGTTTGATCCATTAAACCAAATCATCATATCTATTACTAATAAAAATTGATGATAAATCAACACAACAATAACATTAAGAGAGTGTTATTGGTTATTGTATTTTAATTGATTTAGAAATCTAAATTAAATTCAGTGTTATTGGATCTATGATTTTAAATTCCATAGTCAAATTCAGTGTTATTGGTTATATGATTTCAAAATTCATATTCAAATTCAGTGTTATTGGTTCTATGATTTTAAAATCCAAGTATTTTAAGGATTTGGTTTGAAATTGGATTTGAATGGATTTATTAGTGTTTTCATGACTAAAATATAAAGATCCAAATACAACTCAGCTTGACAATAAAAGTCTCTCCATAGCTTGACAACTCAGCTTTTTCAAGTTACCAAAAACTGACACATCAGCGAAATTAACAATCAATCAAAACATTTTATTAATACACATCATCAACTAATTTTTATTATTTTTAACTTAAACCCATTAAAAGCCCAAATATTTTTCTTTGTTAATCTTTATTTTATTTTTTGACAAACTCAAGCCCAAATAATAAATAACAGCAAAAAAATTGTTTTATTTTTTACCATCCCAAAATCCAAATTTTAGCAGAAAATACAATTTCTCGATTTGATGGGAAAATAAAATTTCTCGATTTTGGCATGAATAAGCAATTTCTCGGTTTTGATGGGAAAGGTAAATTTTCAGATTTTAACATATAATGTAGTTTCTCGGTTTTGGTAGGAATGCGTGATTTTTGGTTTGACGAGAAAAATAATTTTTTTTTGTTTTGACGGGAATAGACGATTTCGCGGTTTTTGCGGAAAAATAGTTTTTTTGGTTTTGACGGAAAAATATGAATTTTTGGTTTTTGCAGGAAGATAAAATTTTTTGGTTTTGGTGAAAAAACTTGATTTCTCTGTTTTTGCGGGAAAACACAGGTTCTCGTGGGAAAATGTGTTTTTTTGTTTTTGCGTGGAAATGCAATTTCTTTGTTTTGGTGGGAAAATAAAATTTAAGCTTTGACGAGAAATAATTTTTTTTTTTGGTTTTGGTGGGAATAGGCGATTTCTCAGTTTCGTAAGAAAATGAAATTTTTTTGCTTTGTTGGAAAATTTAATTTCTCGGTTTTTGTAAAAATATAAAATTTTTATGTGCTAAATTTTTGAGTTATAATATATTTACAGTAACCAAAATTGAATTATTTAACTTCAACTAAATTAATTGATATTTCAACAGTTCAATTAGAACTTTCTATTTAGTTCTAAAGCAATAACAATGGTTTTGATATGAATGTTATTGACTATAGTTTGGTAGTTTTAGAAACAAATGTTTATAATAAATATTTGTTAAATAAATAAATTTTATAATTCAAAATAATCATATTAATTAATATTTTTTTTAAATGGCAATTTGCTTTATATAATTTCAAAAGAAAATCAAGTGGGAATTTAGTAGAGAAAATATTGTAAATTTGTCATTAGTATAAAAATACTTAAAAATGTATTATTTTATTCTTACATATATTTATTGATAGTTAGCTAAACAAATTTGATAGTAGATTATAAATTTGAAAAATAAAAAAATTAAAGATATATAATGTTTATTCAGATTTAAAACATATAAATACATAACTTAAGCTAATAAAAATAAATATAATACTCATTTATATTATAAAAATAATTTTATCATAATACAATATATACAAATAGAAAAATATCCCGCTGCATAGCGCGGATAAATACCTAGTGTCTTTAAAGATGCCTACTTATGATTTAAAGATTCAATTCTATTGGTACACATCATCATTATTTTTAGTTAATTATATATTGTATATTAAAATTAATTAATTTATTTTAATTGTTATAAGAAAAATTTCTAAATTTTAATTAATTTTGTTTTTTGTTGTTATTAGGAAAGTTTCTAAATTTTAAGTTAGTTATTAATTAAAAAGAGTTTTGAAAATAAATCTTATTTTTCTATTAACAATAAAAAGGTAAATTAACATATAAATAGATCATGAAAGAAAAATCATATATATTGAACAAACTTATTAAAAACTGTATTTAAAACTATAACTAGGTGTCGCGGGCTGAATTTCATAATAAATTATTGTTCTGAATAATATTAGATAGCTTCATAAATACCACGAAACAGATTGAAGTAGTTCTATAATTCGAGTAACATATTTTGAAACAAAAATGGGAAACATGCATTCTCATTACTGTTCATTCGATACAGATTTTGCAGTCGATGCCTCTTCACCACATCGTAACCTGCAGTAAAAAATAGTGATATGTATAAACATTTAAATAGTAGTAAACTAAACTGTTTTATTCAGCTTAATACGCCGTTACCTATCTCGGAAACGATGAACATCAGGAACATCGGCATTGAAATAGAACTCACAATATTTCTTCATTGCGATAACATTCATAATACCTAAACCAAAAGAAAATAAGATCACAAGACTACACAAACGAACCAACAAACATAATTTGGTGTATTATATTATTCAAAATACCTTCATATTGTTTGTTGATGTACCACCACCTCAACACACAAATAACTTCTCCATCACAGTTCTGAGACCATTTCAAGGCAAACTCTTCAGCTAGTTGTCCCATCGCGCAACATTCAATTACACGTGTCCTATTAAAAAAGGCGTTTTAGAATATCAATTAATCGTTAATACGATGTGAAAAAATAAGAAACTTACTTGTCATCTTGCAGATCAAAAGGGATCATAGCGTAATCATCTTGTATTTTACCCTCATCAAAAATCTCTAACTCTCCGACATTTTTAAGAACACCAATTAAATCTAGTAAACAACAACACAAAATAACAAAACTCTTATTGCATTCTTTTAATCAAAAAAACCAATAATATTCACTGTATAAAATTTTTACCGATAACATAAGTGGCATCCATTCGACTTCCAATAACATCCCAAAATCAACCAATTTCAACAATAAACCATCTTCGGGACCAGACACAGAAATAAATCTAGTGATAGTAACAAACTTCAGCTTGAAAGGATGCCTTGCAATACGAATGAAAGCATTGGAAGTTTTAACTACAAAACCACTTAAGAGCTCCCACTTTCCTTCGATAAGTTCGTCTTCAAACAAATGAAGGTATTTGTTTCCAATCGAAGCTTGTATCATCGACCCCTATAAACACTTTAGTCATTACAATTGTACATAAATAAAACATAAGAAACAAGAATTAAATTTAGAGCAAGGGTGAATGAACTTACATGCATGTCAATGAAGATCATCTTTAATTTAGGCCGACGGTTCCTATCTTTGGCACGCCATTTCTTTAACAGTTTAATTTCAACAGATGGATCGACAACACAAGCGTCTATCTCAGAGACATTCAAGAACCCCATCGCAATAGAAACGCCAAAAAAACCAAATTCTAAACTAAAAACACTCGTTAAATGAAACAAGAAGCATAGAGTGTATCGACAATTACAATATTAATATCTAGTTCTCTTGGTCATAGTGTTGATGCTGATTAGCTATATTTATAGGCAAACAGTTCCCTAAAAAATTATTTTTAAATAATAAAAGGCAGATATGTTTCATATATACAAAAATCAATATAGAATAATTAGTTCATAAATATAATCAGAATAATAAACATGCAACAAAAACCAAAACCGAGACTAAGGACCAAACCAAAACGACGAAAACCCATAACCAAAACAAATCCAAAGCCTAAAACAGTCTCAAAGCAATTTCAATGTGCACAATAAAAACCAAAAACTTAAATGTTCTCAAACACTTCCTTGTAGACAACGTTAAGAGTACCTTTCTTTGGTTTTCCAGCTTCGTCAGTTACCAAGATCTTCAAACCGGCACATGATGTTACTCTGGAGATAGCGACGTATAGCTGACCATGGGAAAACACCGGTCTTGGTAAAAAAATACCAACTTTTTGTAAAGTCTGACCCTGACTCTTATTTATAGTCATCGCAAAAGCAACAGCAACAGGAAACTGTCGACGACGCATCCTGAATGGTAACCTAGTCTCAGGTGGCGAAACAAACATCCTTTCTGAATCACATGCGCAACGAGCTGCGTTACAAGTAACCTCGTTCCGTTGCACAAACCACCACGAGGATCAATATTCCTTACCAACATAATAGGAGTCCCTATCTTCAGCTTTAGATCATGATTGGGCAAACCAGAAACTTTTATGCTATTGAGATATTCTTGGGTGTAAACCATATCATCATTTTTACTTGTGTCCGACGTATCAATACCATCCGAACTAAGGTACGAATGCTCATCGCCTATAACAAAACAATAAACGAAATTAATCGATAGCACGTTAACTAAACCAAACTATATAGGAAACAATAAACATTACCTATTACGCGAGATAACATATACTCGTTTATAACATCGACGTTAGAATTTTTCGGACTCAAAATAGCTCGCCCCTGAAAAAACAACGGATCTTTTTCTCTTGAATATGAATGGCCATACACCTCTAGGACAATTTTATCCATAGGATCTCCACTCCTGGTTATCAGCAAATCATCCGGTATATCTATCTCAACCTCTCCAGTGTTAGGTTCGTTGATCTTTCCGTCGCCTATAGCAAGTATCCATTTTGAAAAAGACTCCAGTTCCTTGGCATTATTTGCATCAACACCGCAAAGAAGGCGCATATTCGTGGTAAGCTTCAAGACCGTACAATTGCTCCACAACGCCAAAGAGTTCAGAGAGGACATGACGGTTTCAGCTTGATTACCACCAACAATCGCAGGCAATATCTGTCTAAAATCTCCTTCGAACACAACAACTTTACCACCAAACACTCTGTCACATTTCAAAATATCTCTCATTGTTCTATCCAACGTCTCAAAACAATGTTTGCTCATCATCGGCGCCTCATCCCAAATAATCAGTTTGGCTTCCTTGATCAATTCCG